TACGCCTGTTACTCCTAATGGAGCATAGGCCGCCGACCAGCATTCTCCAACCCACTCTGTCCTGGGCCTTCTTTTCTAGTTCCATCCAATTCTTGTTCATTTTTTTCATGTCTATCTTCATTTCCCGGCGTAATGTGTTCTTCGGTCTTGCTCTTTTCCTTTGGCATTCAGGATTTCAAGTGAGGGCTTATCTTGTGACACAGTTGGGTGCTTTTCTCAATGTGTGTCCTATCCACTTCCAGCGCTTCTTCCTGGTTTCTTCCTCCGCTGGGATCTGGTTTGTTCTCTCCCACAGTAGGTTGTTGCTAATAGTGTCCGGCCAACGGATCCGAAGTATTTTGCATAGACAACTGTTAACAAACACCTGTATTTTCTGAATGATTGCTTTCGTAGTTCTCCAGGTTTCTGCCCCATACAGTAGAACTGTCTTGACATTTGTATTGATAATCCTGACCTTGGTTTTCACCTTTACTCACAGTATTTATGATTCATCATTGTAATCTATGTATATGTCAAGTTGTACTTTGGTATATGCTACTTATGTTGATAGATATCAATAGTATGTGGCACTAATTGGAAGTAGAATGCCTGCAAGCAGAAGATTGGAATGAAAACTAGAAGCAATCAGGGTAACAGCAGATATGAAGGAACAATGAAGTTTGTAAGAAACAATTCAAAAATGTGCGAATGGTGTACTTAGTGTATGATTTTCAAAATTTACTTAACCATTGTGTGAATTCTTCTTACACTACGGTATAGTAAAACAAATCTCAGTAATGTAAATTCTGGGTAGCCCAAATAGTGCTTAGTTCAAATGAAAACAAATCATCCACTAAAAGCATACTTATTGGGTAGTTAAGTAATATAATTTATAACAATGAAGTAGTAAGTCTGAACTCTGATATACCTACTTAAGCTTGGATAACCATAAAGTATTACCAGCCAGCAACATAAACCATATAGTACATAGTGAAGTAACGGGACTTTAAGTCACGGATCTAGGTGAAATTACATTCTCATTCTCAAAATCTTTTTTTAAACTTCAGATAGAATTAAGCTGAATTGATGACAGTTGCAGAGAATCAGTCTTCGACCTAATCTTAAATGAAAGTAATTGTTTTGAAACGAAAGTTTGAGAGGTGATATTTGTTATTAATTTTTCTATTCAATAAGGTTCGAGGTACTTGTGTACTTGAGCCATAGGATTGAACTGTCCCACTAAGGTGCAAAGAGTCAGGATGGTGTCTAGCTCTCCTGAAAACTAATTTAAATTCACGTCTTTCTGAAGTATAATTATAATCATGAATTTTTTCATTTAGGCAATTCTCAGAAACTTTAAGTCAAGATCAACTTTTTTTAAGTTTGTAGTTTCATTTCTCTCATCAAGTCGTGAGGTATTGGGATTCTCTATCTACATAGAGAGGATCTTCAGCTTCTTTTGATACATTCAAAGTGAGATTGAATCTTTATAGCACTATAAATCGCAACGATTAACATTGTCTACGTAACCTTTCTACCTCACACTTGCAAACTGGAAATTTATTTTACATCCCTTTATTTCATATTGTTTCTTCTAGAGAACGAAGTGTGTATTTAGTGTGGGTACGAACAGTGTGAAAACTAATATTCTTTGCATTATTCTGTGTGATATTTATATGTTTCACAGTAACCTTGTATGTTTTCATTTATATAGTGTTTACTAACTAATCATCAAAAGTAGGTGAAATCGTTAAGTAAATTGAATGTATTTAGTTTAATCATGGACGACTTGTTTGAAGAGTCGATCTTTACTGCACTAGTCTTTCCTGTCCTTACTTTCTAACATGGTAATTACAATGGGTTTCCAATTATCAAATATAATCCGTAAAGTCGACGACACAACGCAGGCAATGGTGAATATATCAGGACGTTAAAGAGAATAATCATTTTCCTTTAATGATTCACTTCAGTATTGTTTAGTGTTATAATCATTAGAATTAACGAGGATGTGATTAATAACAAGTTTTTTAAAAGAAAATTTAGGAATTATACTTCTTAGTAAGTGAAATCAAACGTACAACAGTTAATCTGTTAATCGATTTGATTCTTAAATTTATGTCAACAAATACAATTGTAAACTGTATGGTCTCGATTACAAATAAAAAGAATTCAGCAAAGAAATTTTTCGCTTCAACGAAATCATTTATCACAGTTTTTGAAATCATGAGTCAGTTGAAGCTAGACCACCATTGAAAACCTGGAAGCACTGGACGGCCGTTTCGTCCTGGTATGGGACTCCTCAGCAGTGCGCATCCACGATCCCGCACCACGCGGGGCTCGAACCCAGGACCTACTGGCTTCGCGCGCGAGCACTTAACTAGCTTCAACTGACTCATGATTTCAAAAAACTGTGAAAATTCTAAAATTCTCCACAAAACCCATTCTGATAATAATAATCAACTGCTCACTAGTGACTGACTTCAGGAAAAACTCCTGAAGTTCTAGTGAGAAGCCGTTACCAGTGGAGTTCAACCGGTCTGTTGTGAGATAACAACTCACTGAAGACAATGGTGTACGGTGGCGCAACTTCGTGGATTGGTTGAAGTTAGACATTAACACCGTTGGATGCCGGCTCAGTGGTCTAGTGGTTAAGTGCTCGCGCGCGAAGCCAGTAGGTCCTGGTTCGAGCCCCGCGTGGTGCGGGATCGTGGATGCGCACTGCTGAGGAGTCCCATACCAGGACGAAACGGCCGTCCAGTGCTTCCAGGTTTTCAATGGTGGTCTAGCTTCAACTGACTCATGATTTCAAAAAACTGTGAAAATTCTAAAATTCTCCACAAAACCCATTCTGATAATAGAAATCATTTATTTAAGCTGTACATTCGTATTTATAGTTGTATGGTAAATATATGTCTATAGAAGGATAGAGAAGATTGGATCAAAAAGTGATTCGAGACTCTAATTATCAGACGAGGTTGCATAATAATGAGGAGGTTGGATAAGTTGACTTGCTCCTGTGGGGCAGGTTGCATTGGCCGCACAAAGCGATCACTTTCTAAACGTATCTCAGAACACTAACCGGTGTGGCTTTTAAAAGAATGCAAAAAAGTTACCAGTTCAGTGTAGGAACATATCTCTCCGCAGGAATCTTCTTCTAAAATAATCTACACAACCAAAGGAATTGAATCGAAGGGAGGTTGGATCAAAAACGTATGTATTGGTAATCCATCAACTCAAGACGCAACTCTGCGTGCAAAAACGATACATCCAACGACCTATCTTTCCTTTGCCCTCATTCCCTTCTGTAGTATATTTTAGTCTGTTTTCTTTCCTTATTTTGTTTGCTGAAATAATTGTTCTGTAATCAGTTATTATTATCATTAAACAAGTTTTCCTGACTATTATTCAGTTTTTATTATTATGACCTTTATGTTTTTCGTTTTTCTTCATATCTGTCAAGTGGACAATTATCTTTCATAATTCTCATCCGTAAATTATTTCCATCCTTATATTCTTCTCTAAACCCTTGATTAATTACGTAACCTCATTTGATAATTAGAGTCTCGTATCACTTTTTGAAGCAATCTTTTCTGTCTTTTTATAGACATATATTTACCATACAACTATAAATACGAATCTACAGCTTAAGTAAATGATTTCGTTGAAAAGCAAACTTCCTTCGCTGAATTATTTTATTTTATTCAATGACACAATGTGTTATTTTAATTATTTGAAGCTTTGATTACGTTTCTATTTGACATACATAATAAGTTAGTATCAGTATAGGGGTTGTGGAGATTGTTAAGTTTTTGATTGAGATCGTGAACCGATTGATGTTAGACCACCATTGAAAACCTGGAAGCACTGGACGGCGTTTCGTCCTATTGTGGGACTCCTCAGCAGTGCGCATCCACGATCCCGCTCGCGGGATCGAAAGCAAAAAGTTTGTTTTTAAAAAAAGGAAACAGACAAGTGAAAACAATAAAAGCTAAACAGTGATGTACTTGTTGTCGATCGAACAGCAATAATGTTGAATTAAATCCGATAAAGTAAGCGATTTTTATTCATAAATTATGCGATTACATCACAGTCGATAAAATAAAGAATTACGTATAAAAAGGTGAAGAATGAAAGAGAAATAGTAATGACAACAATAAGAATATATATAGTTGTAAATTTGTGTAGACCAGATACCAATAAAAAAAGCAATGTATATTAACACAATATTATAGTGGGAACCAGTGATGACGTAATTTACAATAGAAATTGTCTATTTAAAAATATATAACAAATATGGATATGTTTGTCAACAGTGTTACTAGCCAACGACGGCTTTCTTTCACCGGACGCATTATTAAATTTTGCGTAATTCATCCTCTAATGAATACATTTTTAATTTAAGACTTTTCAATTCATTCAATATTTGGTTAGATCGTGTTGTTGAAGCTTTAACTTGTTTTAATAGAGCCAAATCAATATCTTTATGATCGTTAATATTAAGTGATTCAGGTAAATTGATCCCATCGGTTAAACAAGAGTTAACTAGAGAACAAAGATGATAGAGATTTAGTATTTAAAAAATCAAGAAAATAAACAGAATATCTAATGGGAAATTTTTATTTTAAAGGAGTTAACACTTTTAGAAACTCTAATAGACAGTTGATCGTGACTAATTACCATTGGAATCACTTTACAATTTACTGTAGGAATTATTAACATGCTTAAATGTTCGTTGATTAACTTCAGATTTTTTCATTTAATGGAATATTCAGTTGAAACAGTCTAAATCGCATCATACAGTCTTTTTTTGAGTTGTACATTTCGTATATAAGTAAAACCTACGTTAAATAGAATACATGCTCTAATTATTAACCAGTTTCCTATCAGTTAGCTTGTGGCTTTTTAAAATTATTTACAACTGAAAGTAAATATAAACGGTTCAATTTTATGAATAATTATATCATTTTGATAGTCATTATCAATAGTTTAAGCTGCTAAACGATGAAGTAGAAGTTTATATACTTTAAGCTGTATTCTACAGTAGTACACAATGTAGAAGATCATATTTTGGACAGCTTATACGACTGTCAATCATCATTAAGTTTTCTCAATTTTATTTAATTTGGCTTAAAATTTCATGCAAAACGATGTTGAATAGCTATGATTGTAAATCTTTATCGACTACGGTGACTGAGAAATACGCTACACATTCATAAATATCTCCTAACCCAACATGAACTGGTGATTAATGTGCAAATAGATTGAAAAGAAAAAGTTAAAGGCGATCAAACCAAAATATATCATCAGCCTATTAACTGATTGACTATTGGTTTGAACTAGGTTAGTAAGTATAAATCATGTAGTTAAGATCTGTACAACAATCATGATCAGTAGTCGAAGAGCTTGAACAGTATGATATAAAACTGACCTTTGAAATCAAGAATTTCAGTGCTATTTCACACTTTTATTCGACGGATTCATTCCTTTTTTTCAAAGTTGTTACCATAACTGTCAGTCATAGTTTTACTACATATAACATCTCCTAGCCAGAAACATTGAGTATTAGTTTTATTACTGATACAACCAGATTAACTGCACTGTTTATACTGTCAGTTTATTGTCATTTAACTGCTTAGCGGATGGGCAGTTATTCATAAACTATACGCTCTTCTAATTTCTCTGTCAGTTAATATTTAAGTTAAATATATGCCAGGGTTAATAAAAACGGTATGTCTTTTTTATTCTCATTCATTCATTGAGTTCAAACGGAAAAATATTAACGCCATGATAACTTGCGTTATTATCACAATTAATGCAAAGAATGTACCTTTAATAATTGTCGTTCAACCTCTTTAACTTTTTACGCAACACACTAATATCTGTTCGGTAACCTTCCATTTCTAATTGACGTCTACGTTCTAAATTCTGATAACGTTGTGACATAACTTGAACACGTTCATGAAGTTTTTGTGCTTGATCTTTAAATACATCCTTTGACATGACACCTTCTTCACGTGCACGAACTAATTCCTCTTCTAATTGAATAACCTGAATACCAACAATGCATGAAGGGATATAGCAGACTCAGATTACATAACTGATTTAAAATATAAAACTAATATGAATGTCATATAAATTGACTAGTAGTTAGTGCAGTTAGAAAAATACACGTTTTACCTTAAATTAATCAATAAATGATCGGACAAAACGATCTCCGTGTTATAAATATCCTAAAAACTCTGTTTATAGGCTTACAATTTTAATCATTACTGTTACACGCTGATTTCCCATACTATATGCACAGAATAGATATTCTTTCCTTCCCAACAACTTTGGCTTTAAGTCATATTATCTTTTAAAACTTTATTTCGTGTTTTATATTTTTCAATAGCAATTAGTGATCATATTTACAGACCAGCTATACAACAATATCATCTTTTGGTGAAACAGTGAGGGTTTCTTAAAGAAGATTTAGGTTTTTTACCATTTACTGAGGGCTACACGGAAGCCAGACAGAAGTAAACTTAGGCACAGGTTCGACGAACCGTCAATGTGCCCTATCAGGGTCCCTGAGTTCGTATGAGCTTACGATCGTCAAACTAAAAACGACTCAAAAGAGTTCTTTATCGTTATAAGTGAAAATAGACTAGTGAGGACTGATATAAGCACAGTTCAATATAATAAAAGGTTTTTTATTAGAATTTGATTTGTCAGCTATAAAACACTATGTCGAACAGTTTCTGAACTTTTAATACATGATGAATAGATCTTACCAATCTAAGAAAGGTAGTAGGCAGAGAATTACCCAACTTTGTGTCTGTACACAACAACTATAAACACAAAGAAATACATACAACCAGTAAGACCAAATGAATAGGAAGAATACATCTCGTATGAGTGTACAGGACACAGTTGAACGAACCACATGCATAAACTTCAGTTGATCAATGTAATAAGTTCAACTGTGCACCAATTGACTTTTGAGCAATTGAGTTAATGTCATGCTTGTCTGACGTGGACTATGTTTTGACGTTAAGTGGTCAAAATTAGTGCATATAAAAACCCAGATTTCATGTCAGTTATTACTCATCAGTAAGGTGCACGCCTGTAACCTTGATAGAACTGATGTTCCCTGATAAATTCGAACTTGCATTATCCCGTTTCACAGTCTAAGGTATCACCACTAAAATACTCAGGCCACAATCAACCTCATATATGACTAAAATGTTCACAATAGATTGACCATTGAGTAGTCATATTTGTCTAGTCGATAATGTTTATTGGATTCCAATCATTTTAAATATTAAAAACATGAAATTGTTTCTTATCACAGCTTTTCACACATACATATATCAAAGAGGGCTCTAAAACGAAAAACCTTATCAATATAGTTAAAGATGAATGGATACAATAGATCAATTTATTCACTTACTTGATCTCTATACATATCTGATAATTTCTGTAGTTGATCTAATTGATGCTCTAAATTGTCGATTGTTTTCTCTAATTGAATTTGTTTTTGTTGATTGAATTCAATCCATGCATGAGCTTCTAAACTTTGAATATTATTAAATAAATTAGTAGTATTGATAGTTGTTAGAGTATTGTTTATTTTGTCTCGAGGTGAATAATAAGTATTACGTTCACCAGTTTTTAAAGCAGCTTTAATATTGAAGCAGATAAAAAGGGAAAACAAACAAAAACCAAATAAACTAATTAGCTTATCTTTAAATAGGAAATAAGAAAATAATAGATTTTTATTAAGTATAATGAACTGTTCAAAGTTTTACATCATTAATTTTATACCAAACAGGTATTTATTGTCATAGATTTTCCTGTACTTATGCGCTTCCAGATAATAGTTATAAATATAGTGAATCTAAATTACTGAAAAACATAAGAAGTATCACCATGATAGTTCGTATACTCCTCTTCAACTTTCCTCTGTTCCCTGAGGGTACAAGAAGCAATCAATATAGAATTCATAAATCAAATATATTAGGCAATGAAAAGAGTAAAGCTAATCATATGGATTTACGGGTGAACATCAATGGGTGCTAACCAATGCTTAAAGACTTGTTACACAGATTTTTCGGATATTCACCAGTCAAACAGTTATAAAACCGGGATTTTGTTGCAATATTACACATTTTCTGTTGAGAATTCTTTAAAGTCGCCAAATATATAACACTGAATAAGGCGATTACTATTATTGTCATTATTATTAAATAAAACTGAGCTTTCCTATTACATTTAAAAAAGTGAGATATGTTTTACAGTTAGTTCTCACCATAAATTGACATCAGTTGAAGGACTAGTTAAAATTAGGGATCATTAATGATTGTTTTGACTTAGTCACGGATTTTGACACTTCCGTTTTTTGAAGTGGATCGTCTAGTCGTGGAGTTCTTATTGTTCTTCTGAGCAATATCAGGACAAACTTAAGGTAGAAGTGAAATAACTGAATTTCTCTACATATGACTAACAACTTATCCTGTCAACAGAAGAAAACTGGAGACTGAAGTACATCGGAAGTCAACCCACAAAGATTAAATTCCTAAACACGGCAGGAAAAACCCAAGAATTCACAAAATCAAACGTGTAAAAACTCTATTCAAAAGGGCGTGAACACCCTGAAACACACTTAGAGAGGGGGAAAATGAAGAAAAAAATATAATGGCTACCCTTCAAAAGAACGACCACCCATTCAACTTCATCAAGAAAAATCGACCTAGCTCATCAGCAGAAACAAAACCAAGTTCAGAAAACAATAAACTGATCATCCTACCATATATATAAAAGACATCAGAAATTACGAAATTATCGAAACCATTCGGAATATAGGTAGCACACAAACCAGCATAATCACTTCAACCAATCCTATGAAAACCAAAGGACGAAATGACAGAAGATAGAAAACCGAACATCGCCTGCAAAATAAACTATTCCAATCGAGAAAAACTCTACGTCGGACAAAGGAGAGGCCTCCTTCATCTTTGACCACATGAACACCAATTAGCGGTCAAATGTCATGACATATCCTCGCTTGTATGAATGCATGTGGAAAACTGTGGACACGCATTCGACTGGAAAAATGTTGAGATCTTTGATAGAGCGAATACTAAAAGCACTAGGGAATTTTTAGAAGCATAGTACCCACGTCAACCAGTAATTAACCTACACGTCGAAATCGATCGCATCCATCAACCATTCAGAATAATCATAGACAAATATAGGACCAAGAATCAAATCAAAGTGAGATACAATCAAAACAGAGGTAGACAATGGCAGGTTAGAGGTTAATAATAACCAATCAAGGTCGTGGTCAATAAGACAAGCTGTGAGTCATATGTAGAGAAATTCATATACATCACTTCTACCTTAAGTTTGTCCTGATATTGTTCAGAAGAACAACGAGGGCTCTACGACCAAAGCATCCATACTAGAGGACGAAACTTCGTCAAAATCATCCACCTCAGCTACAAATCTCTACTATCTCATATTCAGGGATTCTCCAACAACGTCCATGCCAATGACCTTCAACATGATATTAGGACACTGAGTTCCAAATCAACGGTCTAAAGTTATAGTAGCCGCCGTGAGACCTAAAAAGCCTAAATCGCATCACAGATCGAGCTGAAAACAGAAATTAAAATACTACATAAACCCCGAAACAATTTTTTCAAAAGAAAAATAACCGTATTAGCACAGGTCTAATGTTATCAATATGTCACTGAACAGATGGCTAATTAGTGTACTAGATCAAAACCTCACTACACAAATTAAGAGGGAGAAAATGAATCACTAGTTAATTAGAGAAACAAGGATGATTTTTAAGGATTGCATAACAAAATATCTATGATATGCGTAATGGCATTGGTTTACATTATCTTTGTATCGTGTGATAAGTAGAAAAGTTTCCAAGAGGTTAGGATATAACTATATAGTAAAAATTAATTATATCACTGAAAGTATTCTTTGTAAGTCACATCTAACTACATTTATCGATTTAAATGCATACGAAGTAGAAAGTTAGTACAACAGGTTTCCACTAGCTTGAACTAGCACTGTAAAAACACTTTGCTATAAATAGTCAAATATTAAAATGATTTAACTCCTTACCATTTGCTGATAAAGTAATTAATTGACTCAACTAAGACTTACAAGCAAAACGTCCAAGGCACTTGAGAGATTACAATTTGTTCAAATGATTCGTGATTACGGGTTCTGTCTTATCGTTGAGTTACTTGGTAGTTAATCATGTCACGATCTTAATCAATGGAATTACGTCAGCACTGAAGACCAAGCAAAATAAAACCATTTACCTGTCAATAAAGTAGCAGTGGTAAACTGTATATCTCCTAGCACACAGACTTACGAATTTTCTTCCTGAAGTTCACATCAAAAAAAGATCTTAGTTAGACAGACTATGAATTCCAAACAGCTCTCGTCCTATGGAGAAACTCATTAGCAACAACGAACATTACAACTCCACCAGAGACCAAACCCTGGACCTCCAATTTTCGTGACGAGTGTTTAACCTTTTAACCTTTTCACCGATTGTCTAACTCAGGTTATTTTTTTGATTTAAGCTATAAAATTCAGAAATCTCCACGAGCCTCTTACACTGATAATCAATGGGTTAAAAATTTATCAACATTTAACATAAACAGGAAGATAAATTTCAATGAAAAGTATCATGATTTAATACTTGATAACCTACACAGTGTTGATGGAGTAACACTAGAAGAAGTCAATTTTTTAACACTGATTTGACTTAAAAGTTTATCTTTTTCCAATATCCAAACCTTTTCAGCTTGACGAAATTGATTTCTTTGTGCTAGAAATTCCTTAGTGCTGTCATATAATAATCCTTGACAGTGTCTAAGTCTAGTTAAAAACAGTAGAAAAAGATTAATTTATAATGGGGAATAAAAATTGTGAACAATAGGAATGACAAATCGTTGAAACAAGCACATAAGCATTTTCTCTATAGAATCTATACAAATGACTGGTATTATATTAACATGCATAATCAGTTCGATGTATTGGACAATTTCTGTGAAATCTATGTAATAGGGGGTACCAATGAAATATGACATAAACACAATAAAAAAACACACTTTAGAATCAGTAAATAGACTATTCAAAATACTACGGGGAACTTATATATTATAATCAGAATACTGAATTTACTAGTATATAGTTTTTTTTTTAAAGGCTGGTAATTCTTCCATGATAATAAAACTATCAGGAATTAGTGTCAAGATGATGAATCGAAATGAGCGAAAGATATTCTGTATGTTCAAAACGACATAGTTAGTTATGGGGGAGGGTGGCGAACCGTCTTATCTTCAGATTTTGTCAATCAGGTCAGTATTGATGTGTTTTGACTCTAAACTACTGTTTAGAATTTTACAAGTCAATATGTATTGCAAGTAAATTATTTACCGAATACAATTCATGTATTTTACTTTCAGTCAAACTTCTCGTGTGAAATTTAGTAAACCTATCCGGCTATCTAAATACTGAGGTTGTTATGTCTTGAGACCCTGATCGACTTCGCGTGCAATAGTCACGAATCAGAATTCTGATTAGAATTTATTCTATTCCGCGTCTACTATTTCCTAGACTTGACTAATTATACGTCTGACCTGCATCATTAACTGTGAGCCGATGTAGACTAGGTAAGATGGTGGTTGGAGGTAGTCAGCAGGCTAAGCTCCTATTGGTCTGATGTCCGTTAACTTTTCTCTATTTCTTGTCTTGGTTTCAAAGAAAAGTTTGCAGCTAACTTCTATTGTAATTAATTCAACTATGGCTCGAAATTCAAACAATAATACAGAGCAAAATCTTGGCCGCATGTCAACATAATTAAGAAATCACAATAACGACATAACTACACAACAAGTGAAGAAGAACTGAGTAATAGGTTCTTAATAGATGAATAACAACTTAAGATAGGTAAAGCATAAAACAATAGTTTATGAGTCAAACAAAAGGCTTTAAAACATAGGAATACAAAATTACAACAATTTAAGTATGTAATGGTTTAAGAACAAAAATACAGGTAGGATATTTCCGAAAGTTCAACTTTTCTAATACTCGTTCTGTGAAGTTTGAATCTATGACCTACCAGTTGAAAGATGAGTGTTTCGATAATTAAGTCACCATTTCATAAATTAACTACAGATAGTTAAGATCACATGCTCATTGGTGATTAGCTTCAAGATGGATTTCCTGGAGGTCTAATGGGAAGCCGTGACCAGTGAAGTTCAATCCGTGTAGGGTGGACACAGTTATCCACCTCAGACAATGGATGAAGGGTTGCGCAAGATCGTGGTTTAGTTTAATTTAGACAGTAACACTAGAGGATGGCGACTCAATGGTATGGGGGTTAGTTATTCACGTGTAAGACCGAAGGTCCTTGGTTCGAGTCCCGCATGTGGGATCGTGGATGCGCACTGCTGAGGAGTCCCATACTAGAACGTAAGGGTCGTCCAGTGTTTTCAGATTTTCAGTAGCGGCCTAGCCTAGATCAACTATTAAAATTACTACAATCTTCACAAATCACCATTCTGGTAATAATTGTAAATTAACTGGTGTCATATTGGTTGGTAGATTTTTTCTCCGTTCATCTACATTAAATTGGTTATTTTTGTACTTCCCTATGTTGAAAGTTGATAGTTTTTTGGATCTGTCATCTTGAATGTGAGTTTTAACCTCAGCTAATTGATACCTATTATAGAACCATTTGTTATTATTACATATTCACATCTAAATATCGCGAGAAGCCGAGACAGTCTTCTGACTTTAATGGACCTCTGGTACGTTATTCCAGTGAATTTAACAGCTACCCAATCTCTCTAACAGGAGTAAATGAACTAGGATTTGTAACCTGAAACTTAATGGTCAAGAATTTATTATTTTAACACTATGTAGAATCTATTTAAAGTTTCAGACATATTCGTCTGGGCCATAACTGATTACTGAGTGAAGATAAGCATGCACACGCCAAAATTAATAACATAAATAACCGTTATTATATTGTAAATTAATTTTACTCTTGGTTTCATAATGTTGACTGTTTGTATTTGTCTTAATAAAACCACTATTCGGTCTATAATTTAGTTCGTAATTTTTGGTCGGAATTGTGTATCACGTGATCTGACCTAGTGATCTAGTTATCAGGTATATTATCTAGTATCGTGATCTAGTATGGCCACATTATTATCAGGTCTAGTGTTATTGTATTATGGCACTGCATATTAGAGGGTGAAACCCTTTATTTTTTTAGCAGTATATCAGTTATAAATCAACTTCATTATTTAGAATAAAACATACTGTTCTGATGAAATGCGTATTTTTTCCTCGTGACGTTTACGTAAACTGTTCATCTCTTCCTGTATTGCTTTACGATCTTCCATTAATGAATCAATTTGTTCACGAGCATTGCGTGTTTGTTCTTCCAATTGGGTTTGTAATGCTCTCAGAGAAGATTTTGACATTTCAAGTTCTCTTAGCACAGCTTCATGTTCTATTCGAGAAACTGTATCTGATTTAGACGATTCTGATGGATCAGAACAAACTTTATGGTCTGATTTAATTTGACCTGATATTGTATGGGTTTTTTTCCAGGATGATCCATATGAAAATGTGAGGGAAAAAACAAGATGCACAAATGTGAAAGAAATTAATCACAACAGTAGTATAGCATACATAAAACAACACTAAAATAAATCTATCACTAAAAAGATTTTCCGGAATTGATATCTAACAATCTTATTCGGTAGCGAATAAAACTGTCAACTTATGTATTGGTAAACTTAGACACCTAGATAAGTCATAGCTAGTTCCAAACGAAGACTTGGATATAATAGAAAAACGCCGAGAACATTCTTATTCAACAGATTGAGATAGTTATTTTGAAATAAGGAAAATATCATTTGCATTTCAAAACCATAGATATACTATGGAGAATTTTGTCTTCATAAGAATGACTTTAATGGATTTTTAATGTCTCAGTTGGAAAGTTGAATAGCTGAACACATTTGAAGTCGGTTTTGAAACAAACCTACTTAGATGTAGTAAAAGCAAACTTTCTAAAATTCACAATAAGCTCGGAAGTATAACAATACTAGGAGGAGTTAGAAGAAAAAGTTAAGTCTCTAACAGCTATGTTTCAAGATATTTCTCAGCATGGAATAAAGACAATCTTCAGGGAGCTAGTAGAGACCGACAGAAGCCTATCGCCACCATGGACTAGATAAACATGACATTGGTGACTATTAGGCGATCAATTATTTTAAATATTTCAAGTTTATGATAGAGCAGTTAGGTTAGCGCAGTGGTAAAGGGTTTGAATGCAACAGCGAAGGGTGATGAAAGGTTCAAATGTTAGAAAGACTATAAGTCCCCTCAAGATTGCAGATACACTCTGCTAGGGACTCCCAACTAGCACAAAACCTGTGTCCAAGGATTTGTATCCACCGACTCCAGTAGCTGGAAATCAAAAAAGGGCATGATGGATGCGAGTTACCTTTGCTGGTAATTAAATTGCAATTTGATAAGTAGAATTTGATTGAGTATAGGTAACATCTACATTGTTTATTATTTGATAAACTAGTGTAAAATTATGGAAAAATTCTCCAATCATCGTTGCCATTTAAGCTGACTTTTCAGCTTTTATGAATGTGTGTACAAGAGAAACAAAATACATACTTCCGCTTGGTTTTAAAATTGTTTTTCCTGATGCAGTAAATTCCATAACACCCTGAGAAGGAGCTGTTGGAATGATCGGTTTAACAGCCATAGCTGAAATCCATGCTGTGTTTCTGTCCGCTTTTCTATTCTCGTCATCAATGAAATGTTCACCATTTTCATTATCAACTGTTTCTTGATTAACTACATTTTGTGATTCAATGTTAGGCTGTTTTAGAAAATAAGTGATTTCATTTGGTCCTAAATTGGATAATTGTAATAAATGTTGTATTTTACGTCGATCATCCAACTCACGAATCTTCAAACGGTCATTTTCGGCATACAAACGTAAAACATGTTCGCGTTCTTGAAAAAGATAAACCTGTTTACAGTAGGTACATGAATAAAAAGTGTTAAATGATAAACTGTTCCGAAATTCAAATAATGAAGTTAAATGTATGTTACAATGAAGTTAGATTTAGTAAAGCTTAGTTTCTTCAATAAAACTATGTAACAGAATCACTAGGCCTTTAAATATGTAAACAGAAGCCAGAAGTATGAGCAAGTAGTCATTAAGATCTATCAGTTATGTTGAACGACTAAATACTTTATTGTACTATCAAATAATCTCCCAAACTTTTGAACGAGTTACTTTGCCAGCATTAAAGCGTGAAGATGGAACACACAAAAATGAGGAGAATTCTCGTTGTATATAATTTAGAAGACGGAGTTAATGTTTTAATGTCCATCCACGATCATATAGAAATAATCACTTGACTTGACTAATTACTACTTGACAATTCGTAAGTTTTCTTTTTTAGCCAATTTAATTGACCTAACAAATAATTAGGTGATTCGTAGCTATTTATAAATTGAGTAAATACTGAAGTGAAGCAAATTGAATGATAAAGATCTCAATATCATTAGTCGTAAAGATTGGATAAGTTAGCATCTATCTGGAATCAGTAGCTTAGTGAATAATGAGCTGGTATTTCAAGTGAAAGGTACTGGGTCCGAGTCTCTATGTGAAGGTCGAAGTTAGGATACAAGTACACCCATATGGCGAGTCCCAAACAGCACGAAATAGTAGTCCTGAATTCCATTGGTAGCCACGATCTGTCTAACCTAAACGTTTAAGTGACAATTTACCTTGGAGTATATTATAACCTGTAATATTATCAAACACACAAATTTCATGATTTACAGAACACGTCAAATTCTGTTGGCATATAAACAGACAACAAAATAAAACGGAAAATAAAGTCACATAAGTGAATAATGAAATGATGGCTACCTGTATGATAAAGAATGAAAACGATTTACATCAATTATCATGGACTTAAAGGGATATGGATTAAAAATAGTCATTGGTATTATTTCTTACTACGGTATAAGTGATGGATATTAACTTCCTGGAACTTTTATTTAAGATTGATTTTATTCCCTAAGTCACTGACTTTCAAATTGTTACAAATATTAGGATAATATCAGTTTTTTCTGGTTCCCGTTTTTAACTTCTTTACTGTGGCAACTTGTAACGATACATTAAAATACTATGTTACATGTTTCTAACGACCAATTATAATATTTTGGAATAAGACAAGAATGTTTGATAACAGAAAAAACTCGGGTGTATAACATATTAACATTAATTTAGTTACTATCTTAGATTAGATCAGTATTATTATGCTTTTATTATTATGTAGATTTGTTACGCTTATCATCATTATTTTAATATCTTCAAGAGCTACACTATGTAAAAACGTCAAACAACAATAACAACTGAAAATAACGAGATGAATTGTAAAAATCTAAGCAATTAAAACTAAATAGCTCTAACGTTTCACTTGTCAGTTTACTTCAGTCTTCTTAAGGTAAATAATTAACATTAAAATTGTCAAAGATAGATAAAGTTAAAAACAATTTTGTGCTAGGCCCTTGGTCTGATCATGTTTTGTAAAAATTGGTTTTGTTTGCATTGAAAATTTGGGTGAAACGATAATTCATGTGCAACCTTTGAGAGATAGTTAAGTAATCTTGATAATATCCACCTAGTAGGGTTAAATGAAGTTTCAAAATTGGAGTGAGGAACAAAGATTTGGATTGACTGTCGGACGTTAGAGTAAAAAATCAAAATTAAGGCTTCATTATGAGCTGACATCAGCTATAATGCCAAACTGCTATTTAGAGATATAAATGAAGTTCACGCCAAAGTCCAAGATCTGCTACCTTAAATTTGATTGGTTCGTCCATAAATTACAGTCTTGCAACGATTTGAGTCATTTCATGTACAAAAATATTCAAAATACTACATAGGATTATATGTTTATTGTATGTATTTTAAAGTTAAGATTCAGTGAACAAGTCAAACAATCTGATGGCTAATGTTGGATTAATCCTTCTGTTTACTATAAAACTATAAAAATATTTGAGTAATTTGAACTAGTCAAAGTATATGTTGATAGAAAAGAATTAGATTGTGTATCGTAATGTTAATTAGAAGGAACTATAAATTACATCAACGAGCTTGAACGAATCCTTAGCCAGTCAACTATAAAACAGTATTTATTCACAATAAAATCTATCATATAAAAGTAAGTAGATAAACACTTTTAATATGATTAATTATTTTTCTTTCCACATTATACTGAACACAATTTACCTGCATATCAGATAATGCTCTTTGTAATTCTGAAATTTCAGCATCACGTTGATTTAATTCTAAACTAAGTGATTCTTGATTTCCTATAGCATCATAAATTTTATCTAAACGACGTTGAACAGTTTCATGATCTTCAGTTAATGTTTCCACTTTATGACGATAATATGATAATAATTCTTTTGTAGAATCATCTAATTGATTAAGACGATTATCAAGTATATCATTTGATTTTGATGTTACCGGTGTTTCTTTTAATTTAGATGAAAATACTGTTGAATGGTTATTGGGAATAAAATTGGTGTGATTTTTAGATTGTATAGAATCTTTAGCTAATGATGACTTCTGTGATTTACCTCTACTGAAATTTTTAAAAAGGATATATAATGATAATAAAACAAATCACTTTAATATTTTATCATACATAAACCGTCTGACAATAGATACGACTAAATTATTCTTATGAAACCTAAAGTATATTAATTAGAGTCAGAAATAGTCGAACAAAATTTATCGTCAGATAAACAATGAAAATCACTACCCTCGTATAAATCTACACATTGCTATTGGATTCACGCTTGTTATGATGAATAGAAACACTTCTAGGTTGTTTATATTGACGTAGTTGAAATGGAATTTACATCTACAACAAAAAAGTGTCAAGTCAAACGACTGAACTATTAAACTACACATTCACTGCTAAGCAATAACTACTGAGAAAATCACACCTGTTGTTAAATGATAATACAATATTCAGATCATGGTTAGATTTAAACTGTCTTTGATGTAGTGGTTTTCAAACTTTTCAAAACTCAGCATAACTTATAATATAATATAAGGTAAACAATTAGTCCATTACACAGATATATGTTTTGCATTCCTAAGGAAAATTCATAGCACTTATTCGGATCGCAATTATATTGAGATGCCTTTATGCAGGTTATATCCAAATATTTTATGTCACTGGCCTGTGTACTTGTAGGATTCTGATCCAACGATCAAGTGAAACGTGAAACCTCAAAACCAAAATATTAGTTTTAGCTGGAAAGCTGTACAATAAACGTAGACAATATAAGGAATAGTCAGTCAGTCAGTAACAACGTAGAACTTCGTACGTACGTACATCAGTTCGAGTTGCCACACCACATTAGCACAGAGATGCAGTTGTCGATTCAAATCCCGTAGTGGTAGAGGTAATAAGAGTATAAGCAGTAATCGGGAAGATTAGGGTTTGGAGATGTTATTTAAAGAGTATAATCCAGTGAAATAAATTTGGAAAGAAAAAAAGGGACATGAAGAATTCAGAAGATTAGAATTTGGGAGAACACAGAGAGTGGATGCACCTGCGCCATTGCAAACGATTTTGAGCCATGTCATTCAGGGTCTCTAACCATCGGTTGCTATCATCTCGCGGTCCCCAACCAGGTAGTCTACACCTACCAACATGACTCAGTTCACTTGTCAGTGACTTCATGGACTTGTGCCATGTTTTGGTTTGGCCGCCCCTAGCTTTCTTCCAACCTACTCCTATACCACTGAACATAGCACGTCGAGGCAGTCGGTCGTTGGGCATACGTAACACGTGTCCCAGCCATCTCAACTGATGAAGTTTCACTACTTCATCAATTGATTTGCCATCCTTACCTAGTACCCGTTTCCTAACAACTGTGTTACTTACTCGATGGTCCCATGATATACGAGCAATGTTTCGAAGACACCTATGATCAAATACTAGTAACCTACGAATATCCTCTACTCTTACCGGCCATGTTTCACTGCCATAAAGTAGGACGGAACGAACTGCTGCGCAGTAAACACGTCCTTTGGTTGATAGACGGATATCTCGCCTACGCCATAAATGACGCAAGTTGGCAAAAGCTAGTCGAGCCTTCTGTATCCGTGCTGAGATTTCGTCACACACTAAACCACAAGGGCTGATGAGACTTCCAAGATAAGTGAAGCGGTCGACACACTCAACTACTTCACTCCCTATCACTAGTTCGGGTGTCGATGTAACCCAATCCTGAAGCAACATTTTGCATTTCGAGGGGAGAATCGCATCCCGAACATGCTTGCATTGTTGCTTAGAGTGGTCAGAAGACTCTGCATTTTGTCAGCGTCTTCACCAAATAAAACTATGTCATCAGCATATTCTAAGTCAACAAGTGAACCTCCCGGTAGAAGTTCAACCCCTGGAAATTTAGATGAGGAGAGTGTTATCTCTAAAAGTACGTCAACGACAAAGTTGAACAAGAATGGGGAGAGTGGACAGCCCTGACGAACACCACTTGAGGTAATCAATTCTGATGACAGTTCGCCATAAGCTCTCACTCTACCAGTTGTGTTCGAGTAGAGAGCCTTTATAAGGTTAATGTACTTCTTTGGTACTCCTTTCAGTGACAAACACTGCCATAGAACCTCACGATCAACAGAGTCGAATGCCGCCTTAAGGTCGAGAAATACTACCATTGTGGGGCGTCTGAATGTGTGTCTGTGTTCTAGAACCTGACGTAGTGTGAATATCTGATCTATACAACCACGTCCAGGTCGAAAACCGGCCTGGTTTTCTCTAATCTGCTCTTCACGAGCTTTGATTAGGCGTCGAAGTATTATTGAAGCTAATATTTTAGACACTATATTAGTCAAACTGATTCCTCTGTGATTGTCACAAGAGGACTTTTGTCCTTTCTTATAGACTGGCACAATCAGTGATTGAGACCAGTCAGATGGGATTACGTCCAGTTCCCAAATTCTACCTAAGACCTCAGTTAATCTCATTGCTAATACTGGACCACCATCCTTAAAAATCTCAGGAGTAAACCTGTCAGGGCCTGCTGCTCTCCCTCGTTTCAGATTTCCTATGGCTTTTTCAACTTCGTAAAGGGACGGAGGACCTACATTAACTTGCCATTCAGGTTGACTGGAGATCGTGGGAAACCGAAGTGTGGCTGAAGGCCAGTTGAACTGATCCCTAAAGTGTTCTGCCCATCGATCCAATCTCCTGGATTGAGAATGAATAATATGTCCATCTTTCTCTGAGATTGTTTCGCTAACGGTCGGGGTTTCCTTAACGAGTCTGAACAATTGTCTGCTATTACCTATTGCCGCTGCCTTTTCCATCTCTCTTGCTTTCGCTACCCACCACTGTTCGCGATCATTGCGTAGACTTCTTGTCAGCTTGCGCTTAAGCTGACTCCGCTCTTCATTATGTTCAGAGCCAGGTGGAATGAGTTTCCGAGCATCTATCAGTGCGATAGATGCTGCTGAGATCCAGTGTTGCTCCCTAACCTTCTGGTTTACCTTACTAGCAGATATCACTGCTGTTTCCACAGCTTTTCGGATATCATTCCATGCTGCATCGGGGTGGGCATCACATACATGGCTGCCTAACTGTTTTCCTAGTTGTTCCTGAAATATACTCTTAGCTTGACTATCATTAAGTAGGCCCTAAGAGGTTTCCTTGCAGCGTCTTTCCTACGTCCAGTAAGACGCAAGCAAATACGCGCTCGCACTAGAGCATGATCTGAATCTAGGCATGTGCTCCAGAATGAGCGACAGTCTTCTATCGAGCCCCTCCATCGGTGGCTGATAGCGATGTGATCTATTTGGGTCCAACGTTGGGACGAATTAGGGGGTCGCCATGTTAAAAGATGTTTTTCCTTATGCTTAAAGTTAGTATTTGCAAGGAACAGGCGGTTATCTGAGCATAGCTGCAACAGACGGTCGCCATTATCTGTTCTTTGAGCCACGACACCATAAGATCCACCTAGGTGTCTTTCCCTATCGCTTAGTTTACCTACTTGAGCATTAAAGTCACCGGCCACTATTACTACATCCGAGCGCCTAGCTTTTCGGAGAAGGTCCGAAAGCTTTCTGTAAAACTCATCTTTTACATCATCTGAGCTGCAGTCAGTGGGAGAATAGGCAGAGACGACGAAGAGGCAACGACGAGTGTCCCTATCTTTCCGGATTCTTACTGTTCCGTTCAGTCGGACAGCGCACAAACGACTGTCTACTGGGATCCACTCTAAGAGAGCTAGTTCTGCCCTAGGACTCAATGCTATACCTACGCCGGCGAGGCCACGGGAAGCAGAATCAGGGCTTCCAGATACACGAAGCGTAAATCGAGTCGGTTCTTTATTTTGGCATGGTGAGGTCAAATGAATGACGCTACTCGGATCCTGTATGCGCGTTTCGGAGACGCAGCACACATCGATGGCGCGAGATTCTAAAGTTTTAGCTAAGGAAGCCTGCTGTCCTATTTGGCAAAGTGTTCGTACGTTAAAAGCTCCTACGTGTAGTTTAGAGCGTGGTTTCAGGAGACCAGGAATGGCGTTCCACGTACTCGAATCGTTTGCCCTAGCGGTGCGAGGTGATAAAGAGACGTGAGGAGGGTTAGTCATGGAGATAAGAGAGGTATTAGGAGGTGTAGGAAGGATTTGAATGTGACCACCTTGGTCTCTTGTGCTGTTACGGGTATGAGGGCTGATGTCACTTCCCGGCTGCCCACACCGTGGAAGGGTATTTCTTGAGGAACCTGAAAAGGAAATTGGATTAGTGTTGGTCTTGACGACCTGGGAGCGTGACCGCAGAGCCCAAGGGACAACTGCTTGAGGCCGGTCGCGCACGGCCTTTTTGTGGAAGGTTTTTGACGTGTTAGCTCCGTTCTTCAAAGGGCCTTACCGCCGGAGACGGAAATCCGTGAGGTAAGGTGAGGTGTGACATTTTTAGGGTCGACCTTTTCTAACCCCACCCCTCCTTGTGGGAAGGCAGCATCGCTGTCATGCTGGTTGTCCGAGGGAAACACCTTACTGCTGTCACACCCCTCTACAGTCAGCAGTACGACTTCGCCCTCAGACCTTGAGTTGCTGCTTTTAGTCTTACCGTTCACCAATCGACCTGCCTGGCATGGTAGAACCTACAGGAACATATGTTCCAGCCAATATAGCTCGGTTGGGTCATCACGATAGGCAAGCCCGACCACCGCGTCAAGGTAGCAGCTACGGTTGGATATAAGGAATAAAGGTTTACAGACCTCAAACATTGCGGTACCTTATAATTTGATGCTCTGCCAAAGTATCGTGAAACAGAAATCACACCCCTTTGAAGGGAGTAGATAAGAGATTTATGATATGCGAAAACATCTACTGATAACAAGCAAAGGACCAATCAGAAGCCATAATTCTGAAGGATGCAAGCCTTTTAAGGCAAACAAAGCTTCGAGTGGTGGTGTAGACGGTAGGGAATCGAAAAAAAACAGAACTGTTATCTGGGAGTACAAACAAGTCAATCTATAGAAATAATAGTGTGTATGGAATCAACGATTCAGTGATGTTTGAAATTTAGTCGAACGAAAATAAGCTACTGAATATTGTAAAGTAGTATGGTGTATTATATGAAAAAGATGTGTGGAAGAAGTGCAGAGGTCTAATACACGAAATGTATTAATTTCCTTTTAACTTTAATTATATTTAACGAAACTAGAATTGCCTGTTTGAATGTCGGGCCTTAAACCAAGCTTCAGTCGCTGAAATCATTTCAAAAACAATTTTATATTTAATATCTTCTATATATTTGAAACCGGATTTCTGTTAAGCCATTCCTTCAAATTTTGATGAATGTTTATATAAAACATAAAATAGAAAAATATATTAATAATTATCTGATAAACACAAAATACATAATCTCTCATGCTTGCAAAAAATACTGGACAGGATTCAACACCATGGGAACATATTATTCAGCAGTTCAAAAGACATTGAGCGATATAATGCGTGAAGGAAATATATTATAAAACGAAAAACTTATATTTCAGAATAAATTTAACATACATTTGGAATACTACTTAAAAGTATAAAAGAAACTGTTACCTTATGTTATTGGGTAGTTGTGGTTTGTTTTCATTTCTAAGCGTAACTGGAGACATTACTTGTAAACAACCATTCAAATCCAACAAAATATTATAGATCCTTTTAAAAAGTTTAAAAGAAAACCTATTGGTGTCTGTATTTGAATTAGTAACCAAATAAAAATCATAAGAAATGATAAGAAACTGAACCCAGTAATTCTTCTCTCTCTCTCTCTCTCTCTCTATATATATATATATATATATATATATATCGGCACAGTGTAAGTAAAAATTAACATGATTAATAGCGAAGGGCAGAAGATGATAATGTCAATCCAAATGGAAACATTTGCCCCCAAATGCCCTGGTACGGCCGAGAGTGGAGAGAGTCCGCTCTGCTTCTCGAAATGCTCTCACATGACCACGCGTATATAGCCTCCACTAGGGAAGTCCTACTCACTGCCTTCTCGTGACAGGGGTGTTGTTTACGAAATTGAGAGGACGAAAAGCGAATGTCAGGCACTTTAACCGGGTTGGTCGATACGGAGAGTCCACCTAGGGGAGTTGCAAAACCCTGATTACAAACCAATGGTGCACATAAGCTCTAGTACCCTGAAGGAATAAATGTCGTATGAATCAATAGTTGGTCATCAGCTACCATGGGATTGCATCTCCTTACGATGCTCCACGGCCTTGTGGATCAGACCTTTAGGTCGAAGGCTCCGGGTGTGGCCCCCTAAGAAAACCACCTGCTTCGGTTTGGGCATCCGGGCAGTATCACAGCCCTCAAACAAACTTGATGATGTGGCGCATATGTATTTGGTGCCCCCTTGTACCAGTATTTGTGTTCAAATAAATAAATAATAAAATGGAAACAGTTTGGAAAGAAGTGATTAGATCAAAGAACAGTAAATGCCGAATAATACTATGTTAAGGACTTAGATAAAGAATAATTGTAAATATGGTGAGTATCTCGGGCCGGCTCCTACTGAACCGTTTATATAGGCTTTCACAACTTAGACTAGTATTTAATGACTATATGGGCTAATGCTATTCCTTGGTTTCTTAGTCACTTATATTTTTCCATCTTACTCTTGTGCAAACTATTGTTGCATGTCGTGATAATTGACTAGGTATGAGTAACATATACCATAACTACATCAGTAGATGATCTGCAGCCCAATCAAACAACGTGCTCATTAACTCCATCATGCGCAATACTTTTAAAACACCTAAGATCAAATACTTAGAGTTAAAATGTTTTTTGCCTCAAAAGATCATATTTCACAGCCGTAAGACAGTGAAAAACAAACTGATCAACAATATGCTAGGCAAATAGACATCTTTTTTGAGCTGAATGGAGTACTACTTAGTAAGGGCCAAATAGATTTTCGTACCTATGCGGAAATTCGATAGGCTACCAACCAATTAGAGAAGATAAATCACCCAAGATAATTAAAGAGGTCAACGTACTCTACTACTTTTCCCTTTATGATCAAATCAGATACTAAGGCAACACTTTCCATTCAAAGGGATAGAAACCCAACGCCAAAATCCTTGTATCGTTACTCAAAGCGTTTATAAGACTGAATTTTCCCATCAGTTTTGTTAGACAGGAATATGCGATTCGCATACTCTAAATTAATCAAGGTATATCCGGGTAGATAATTTATCCATAAAACATTACATGGAGAACTGCCATAAGAACCCCACCAATGACAGAAGCAAAGTAGGTAGTTCTAGAGAACAATACTTGATATCGCCAATTCTAATGACTATTCACCGTAAGCTTTAACCTAACCAGTAGTGTTCGAGTAAAAACCTTCAACAGACTGATAATTTATGATACATCTTGTAATAACAGACAACCCAGCAGAGCACATCGATTACAAAATCGAATGCAACCTTCTGGTCATGAAGTACAACTACATTCAGCCCTCGATAAGTTTGAATACCAAAACTCATCGAAGGACGAATATTTGATCTAAACATCCAAAACCGAGTGTGAGACTTTGTTTTTCACGAAATTATTGTCTGTAAATCCATGTAAGTGTCAGATGCATAATTATGCTAATATCATAAACGCTATATTAGATAAATTCTTTACTCTATGATCATAACAAAAGAGGATTTCTGTCCTTCATTATAAACAAGGGCGATCAATAGTCGCGACCAACTTGATTGGATTACGTCCAGATTTTAAACTCTAGCAAACACCTTAGTCAATATCAAAACTGGATCAACATCCCTTAAATACCACTGAAATTAAACTACGTGTGCCTGCTAATCTACTTAAGCTTAGGTCGGTTATAATCTTTACGAATTCGCTAAGAGTTGAATATTCGAAATCGACCTCGCATTCAAAATGTTTATGAATGGTGGAGAAATACAAGATAGCTGGAGGCTACTTGTTGAATCGTTTTTCAATGTTCTATCGATCATTACAATTGCCTGATCTGAGAGTGGGTGATCGTTTAGTGTATTTTGGTGATAACAAAGGTTGAATTTTCAGTCACAGTCTCTCTGATAAGCCTAAATAAGTGTCTAGTGTTATCTGTCTCCTCTGTATTATCCATTTATTTTGCTTTTGTCTTGCAAAGACTGTGGTCACTGTCAAACTGGTGAGTTTCAAAGTGTGATGAAATGGCTTAGTTCTTATTTAGAAATGATTTTACATATGATACATAGCTGGGAGAAAGAACAAATTGTCTTCTATCCACTACATTGCTAGAGACTGATATCCCAATCAAAACATTACTTTTGATCGTAATGCCTTGTCTCCGTAATCTTTTCTTGTTATGACATTTATAAGTATGATAAGTCCCGGAAAATATCATGTTATTCATGTGAAACCATTTTTACACAATTACCTTTGATCTCAATCGCTACAAAATAACATAAAATTATATTTTCTACACAATAAAACTAAATGCACAAACATGCAAAATTTAAAACTTAAAGCATTATTTCTTAAACGATTTGCCGATTTTATTTAAAAGAAACAACTTGAAATTAAATACAGAAAAATATACAAATATTAGCAAAAAAATATAATTCATTTATCTTAAAGACTTTCTTTGTTGTTTTTTACTTGTAGATGTAGTAATAACCTTGGGTTCTGTCGGACGTCGCCTACTTCGGCGGCAACCATCTTTGTACACACTTTCGGCTTGTTCCGCTAATTCTTTAGCCCACGTTGAGGGCCTTTTTAAGAGTCGAATTCTTTCACCCCAACTAACGGCTTCTTTTACATCGGTTGTTGTTTCCTCAGAATTTTTTGACGAATTTGAAGTGGTGGTTTTTGAGGGCGAAGAATGTTTACTAATTTGTTGAATGTCAGAAGGTTGAGAAACTGGACTGTTCTCAGCACTTTTACGACTTTTCATTTTACACCCAACTATTCCAGCACCAACTACTACGCCAATACGTGGTGTTTCAAGGAGATTTTCGATATCTGGAACTTTTACATCCACTGAAGGAGACGCTTTAACCGAAGGACTATGCATACTGGACTTTGTGCTGGGAGTAAAACGATTTTTAAGGCAATTTTGTTTGGTTGAGTTTTCCAATTCCATTGAAAGTATCTCAATACGATTTAGGGAATCCTATGATGTTATAAGAAGTGAGGAAAAAAGGTAAAGTTATTAACCTATAATTATATTATTTATACGAATATTCGTCAAGATTAGAACGAATAGTTTGACAGTAATAATTTAGTTTTGGATGCCAAATATAATAAACTTTACGGGCTACATCATTATTTCATTAAGAAACAGTTATCAGCGTAGAACAATGGCCACGATCCCACCAAATGCCCTGGTACGGCCGAGAGTGGAGAGAGTCCGCTCTGCTTCTCGAAATGCTCTCACATGACCACGCGTATATAGCCTCCACTAGGGAAGTCCTACTCACTGCCTTCTCGTGACAGGGGTGTTGTTTACGAAATTGAGAGGACGAAAAGCGAATGTCAGGCACTTTAACCGGGTTGGTCGATACGGAGAGTCCACCTAGGGGAGTTGCAAAACCCTGATTACAAACCAATGGTGCACATAAGCTCTAGTACCCTGAAGGAACAAATGTCGTATGAATCAATAGTTGGTCATCAGCTACCATGGGATTGCATCTCCTTACGATGCTCCACGGCCTTGTGGATCAGACCTTTAGGTCGAAGGCTCCGGGTGTGGCCCCTAAGAAAACCACCTGCTTCGGTTTGGGCATCCGGGCAGTATCACAGCCCCAAACAAATTTGATGATGTGGCGCATATGTATTTGGTGCCCCCTTGTACCAATATTTATGTGTTAAAATAAATGGCCACAAGTATATTTCGAGAAACTCAAGTTACGAAGGATCCGCTTCAAAATCTGGATCACCTGGAAAATATTTTACCTGGCGTCTAAATTTACCGGTATTTACTTATTTAAACACATAAGCATTGATACAAGGATGCACCAGGTACATATGCGCCCGGCTGAAATACTCTTCGGGCGCCCAAACTGAAGCAGGTGGTTTTCCTAGAGGGCCACTCCCCGAGCCTATGACCTAGAGGTCTAATTCACAAGGCAATGGAGCAACGTTATGAGATGAAGTCCTATGGTAGGTGGTAACAAACGATAGGTTCATACGCTATTCGTTCCCTCAGGATCATGAAGCCAATGTGCACCGTTAGTTTGAAATCAGTGTTTTCCAATTACCAAAGGTGGGTCTTCCATATCCACCAACCCGGTTAAAAAGCCGGATATTCGCTTTTCGTCCCTCGATTTCGTAAACAACACCTACGTCGCGAGAAAGCAGTGAGTAGGAATTCTCTAGCAGTCCTACTCAGTTCAGAATTATGGATTGATATACTTTGATGCATAGAGATATCGCATATGAAATCGCTCAACAAATTTTTAGACTAATGAAACACATGATTGAAAATGAACTGATTTCCATTTAGTTGACAACACATGTTCTTATTAGAAGCTTACATAAGTACTGAGTATAGAATAGCTGTAAGCTCTAGATAGTCTCAGAAAGATATTGGCTCTTTTTAGAGTACCTTTTCACGTTTTAACTGCAGAATAGTTTAAATCCATATATCTTTGTATCTAGACGTATACGAAAAATGTACTATTAAAAATGTATCCATAGTTGATTTAAGGATGAGAAAAATCATGTCTGTACTTAAAAAGAAAAGTTTATATTAACAGAATGTGGCAGTGATTTACATCTAATACGACTTGATTTTGTATTCGCTTTGTAGAGATGTCAAGGCAAAACACTTAGCGACGTGAAGCCACATAGTGTTTAAACTCAAAGGAAAACTGAAGCCTCATCAAAACAAACTGATGCATGAGTAATATTTTAAGTTACTTTAGCTATAATAAATAAACATGCTTAAACGTAGACGGATAAGTCAGTCAGTGGTCTTGAGCGCTTTTAGAGGTATGAGGGCGGTTTTCACTTCCCGGTCGCTCACACCGTGGAAGGGTTCTTCTCGAGGCACCTGAAAGGAAATTGAGTTAGAGTTGGTCTTAGTGACCTGAGAACATAACCGCAGTGCCCAAGGGACAACTGCTTGGGGCCGGTCACATACGATCATTTTGTGAGTTTTCGTGTTAGCTTCGTACTTGTTGGGACCTTACTGACAGAGACGGAAATCCATAGGATAAGGCGAGGTGTGCATTTTTAGGATCGACCTTTTCTAACCCCACCCCTCCTTGTGGGAAGGCAGCACCGCTGTTATGCTGACTATCTGAAGGAAACACCTTACTGCCGTCACACCTCCAAACAGTCAGCAGTACGACTTCGCTTTTAGTCTTACCGCTCTTCAACCAACCTGCCTGGCCTGGTAGGACCTGGAGGAGCGATTGCTCCAGCCAGTATAACCCGATTGGCTCATCACGATAGGCAAGCCCTACCACTACGCCAAGGTAGCAGTAACGATCGGGAAGACGGATAAACAAGCTTTCAAAATAGTCCCTATGTAAAGGTGATTAGCAGGAGGAAAAACGACGGAAAATTCATAAAAATGGGGCGATGGTTAGCAGTTACATAAGCTTATTAACAAGGCCTATTTCAAAAGAGATCATGATTAGTGAAAACATACCAAAGGCAGAGGTCAAGAGGCTGGGGCAATCGTATGTTTATTGCGTTTTCACCATAGCACTTCTAACATAAACTATGATTATTTGACAGAGTTACGGCTACTTAAGGTATTCCTAAGAATTTCCGCTTTTTCTAAGAATAGTTTAACAAAGTCAGCAATTTCGTACCACTACATTGTAAAAGTGATTAAAAGAAACCTAACTATAATACTTACGGGGAAAGTTACAAGATTTAGGCCTGGCAAGTATTCTTCCTCTGGATCTTCCATTCCATCAGTGCCTTGTGTTTTCGAAGAATCCAAAGCAATATTTCCATCATTTATCCTGAGTTTTTGTGTAAGTAAACGTTTGGCCTCAGCATAACGCGACAAACTCATATTTAAACACTGTACCGTTTGGTTTAATCCTGAAGGAGCCTGAAGAGCTTTGACAACAGGTAGAGAACAAGTGAGAAGGTCACGTCGATGACTGAAAGTAGCTTTTGAAACATCGGATAGATCTTCAGCTGGCGAGGCGGTACGGCCTTCTGTAAAATCATCCCGATTCACAGCAGGACTGTCAAAAAGGGGGGCCCCGGGATATAACACTTGCCGCATTGCACAAAATAAAAATGCATTTGCAGCACATAGTTTCCGAAAAACGTAATAGACATCTAAGTGTCCTTCGTCACGAGCCTCCGTAGCAACCTGTAAGATCCAAGACCAACTTTTAGGACAAACACGTATATGAACCTATAAGTCAACCAAATAAGAATACATAAAACATTGGAATATTAGTTTTATAAGCAGATAGAATTGAGTTAAGCATGAAATTTCATGGGTGTTTTAACATCAAAAAATATAGCTAAGCAACAAAAGCTTCATGTTGAACTTAATTTCCGCTATCATCAGGAACACATCTAAAACTTACCAAGAAAGCACGATACCTTTATGATACAACTTAGACGAACAATAATGCCGTAAATTTTCAATGTTGAATCCATTTTGTGATGCCGAGATAAATTTAGTTTCAGTCAGCCATACACGACAAAGAATTTGAAAGATATGTACATCAGTTCAGGTAGTCATACTCAATAAACAAAGCGAGATGAAAGTTTTGGAGGTAATAACAGTATTAGTGGTAATGGCTATAATTAGGCATTGAAGATACAATTCGAGAAGAAAATGTGGACTATTGGAGTAAATAAAATAATTATAAAGTGATTTAGAAACTTGGGATCTAAAAGAAAACGAAGAGCGAACGTACGTGCACCACTGCGAACGATTCTGAGCCGTCACCCATGGTCTCCAACCATTGGTTACGATAACTTTACAGACTCCAACCAGGTATTTTGCAGCTAGCTACATGGCTTAGTCCGATGATCACTGTTTTCATGGACTGATGCCATGTTCTGGCTTGACCACTTTAAGCGGTCAGCATCTGGCGGGACAGTCCGTGTAGCAGGCGAGCATTCTACCAATGAACTGACGGAGAACCCAGTTTTAAGGTGATTAAACAAAAGTCTTACGGAGAAAATGTTTTCATTTGAGGTGAAGATGTGCAATAAATTGATTAAGTGGACATCCAACTACCTCAGTAAGTCAATCAGTCAGCTACAACGTAGGACCAGGCACATATATGCATCGGTTCAAGTTGCCATACCTCATTAACACAACAAGATGGACACCGGATTCATAAAAGTAGTTAGTTCAGAGGTGGTAATATATAAAGAAAGATTGCAATAAGGATATAGTATAGGAAGAAAGAATTAGTTCGTAGAAAGAAAGATATGAAGTGATTTTAATCTCTTAGTTTAAGAGAAGACAGAGAGTGTATACACCGACGCCATTGTGATCGATTCTGAGCCATGTCACCAAGAGTCTCCAACCATTGGTTACGATAGTCACGCGGACCCCAACCAAGTAGTCTGCATCTACCAACATGGCTCAGACTAGAAGTTAGTGACTTCAAGCACTGATGCCACGTTTTGGTTTGGCCGCCCCTAACTTTCTTCCAACCATCCCCTACACCGGTTAGCATTGCACGTCGTGGTAATCGGTGTTCAGGCATACGTAACACGTGGCCCAACCATCTCAGTCGATGAAGATTCATAACCTCATCAACTGATTTACCATCATTCCCTAATACCCTGCGTCTAACCTCACTATTACTTACCCGGTGATCCCAGCAGATGCCAGCAATATTTCTAAGGCATCTGTGGTCAAATACTAGTAGCTTACGGGTGTCTTCTACTCTTAAGGCCATGTTTCGCTGCCGTAAATTAAAACAGAACGGACTGCCGCGCAGTATACTCGTCCTTTTATTGATAGACGGATATCTCGCCTTCGCCAAGGTGACGTAAGTTGGCAAAAGCCAAACGAGCTTTTCGAATCCGTGCTGAGATTTCGTCAGACACCAACCCATTAGGGCTGATCAGACTTCCAAGATAAGTGAAGTTGTCAACGCGTTCGACTACTTCACTCCCTATCCTTAGTTCAGGTGTTGACGCAGACCAGTCCTGAAGCAACAACTTGCATTTAGAGGGAGAGAAGCGCATTCCAAACATTCTGGCATTGTTGCTTAGTGCTACCAAAAGACTCTGCATTTTGTCAGCGTCTTCACCAAACAGGACTATGTCATCTGCGTATTCTAAGTCGATAAGTGGACCTCCTGGAAGGAGATCAATACCCGAGAATTCAGTCGACGAGAATGTTATTTCCATCAATAGGTCTATGATGAAGTTAAACAAAAATGGAGAAAGTGGACAGCCTTGACGGACACCACTTGAGGTTGCAAAAGTAGATGACAGTTCGCCATAAGCTCTGACTCGACTAGTAGTGTTCGAGTAAAGAGCCTTCACAAGGTTTATGTACTTCTGAGGTACGCCTTTCAATGACAGACACTGCCACAGAATCTCGCGGTCTACAGAGTCAAATGCTGCTTTTAAGTCAAGAAAGACCACCATTGTCGGACGCCGATAAGTATGCCTGTGTTCTAGAACCTGACGAATGGTGAATATGTGGTCGATGCAGCCACGACCAGGTCTGAAGCCAGCTTGGTTCTCTCGTGTTTGCAGTTCACGAGTCTTAGTTAGGCGTCTGATAATTATCGAGGCTAGTATTTTAGATACTATATTAGTTAAACTAATCCCTCTGTGGTTGTCACAGGATGATTTTGACCCTTTCTTATATATTGGGACGATAAGTGATTGTGACCAGTCAGATGGGATAACGTCTAACTCCCAGATCTTAGCTAAAATATTAGTCAACCTAATCGCTAAAATTGGACCACCATCCTTAAAGACCTCTGGAGCCAGTCCATCTGGACCAGCTGCCCTTCCTCGTTTCAGATTAACTATAGCCTTTTGAACTTCAGCAAGAGTTGGGGGACCTACTTCAATGTTCCATTCACACTGTCTGGGAATGGAGGGTAGTTGTAGAGTAGCTGAAGGCCAGCTGAACTGTTCTCTGAAATGTTCCGCCCATCGTTCTAAACGTCTGGACTGGGAGCAGATGAGAGTATCGTCTTTTTCCGAAATAATCTCACTTACACTTGACTTATTAATTCCAGTTTCTTTTATTAGTCTGTAAAGCTGTCTTGTGTTCCCTATAGTCGCCGCCTTTTCCATCTCTTTTGCTTTCGTTGCCCACCACTGCTCACGGTCGTTTCTTAGACTTTTTCTTAACCTAGATCTGATTTGTTGTCGCTCTTCATCATGTTCGGAACCTGATGGGACGAGTTTGCGAGAATCCATCAGTGTGATAGACTTTGAAGAAATCCACTGGTTCTTTGTAACTCTGTGGTTTAAGTCGCTAATAGATGTCACTGCTGTTTCCACAGCTGCTTGTATCTTTCCAAGCAACATCTGGGTCAGCCTCGTCTTCAGAACTACCTAAGTGTGACCTCAGTTGTTCCTGGAACCTACTTTTGGTTTTCTCGTTACTCAACTCAGTTCTAATGGGTCTTTTTAATGTGGCTTTTTTGCGTCCAGTGAGGCGCAAGCAGATGCGTGCCCGTATTAGGGCATGGTCGGAGTCCAAGCAGGTACTCCAGAATGAGCGACAATCTTCTACCGACCCTCTCCAACGATGACTGATGGCAATATGGTCTATTTGAGTCCATCGTTGGTTTGGTGTAGGGGGTCGCCATGTTAGACGATGTCTCTCCTTATGCTTAAAATTTGTGTTTGCTAAAAATAAACGATTGTCTGAGCACAGTTGCAGCAGACGATCACCATTATCTGTTCGCTGTGCCGGAATACTAAAATATCCACCTAAATGCCTTTCTGTTTGGTTTAAGCTACCTATCTGAGCATTAAAGTCACCCCTACGAGTACTATGTCTGAGCGTTTAGCTTTCTGAAGAAGTTCAGAAGCTTTCTGTAAAATTCATCTTTCACTTCATCTGAGCTGCAGTCAGTGGGAGCGTAGGCAGAAACGACAAAAAGGCAACGACGTGTGTCCCTATCCTTCCGAGTTCTTACGGAGCCGTTTAGCCGAACAGCACATAGACGACTGTTGACGGGGATCCACTCTAGCAGTGCTTGTTCCGCCCTCATGCTTAGTGCTATGCCTACACCTGCCAGTCCACGAGAACTGGCCATCGGGTCACCGGATACACGGAGGGTGTATCTCGTTGGCTCTCCGTTTTGCCGAGGTGAGGTCAAGTGAATGACCACACTGGAATCCTGTATGCGTGTTTCGGAGACACAGCATACATCAATGGAAAGAGACTCTAGGGTTTTAGCCAAGGAAGCCTGCTGACCGATTTGACATAGGGTGCGTACGTTGAAGGCTCCAATGTGTAGTTTGGAGCGAGGTTTCAGTAGACCTGGGACAGTGTTTTGAGCACTAGAATCGTTGGCTATGGTGACACTTGAGGGGGAAGCCGAAAAGGAAGTTTATAGTTGAAAGTCGATGTAGGAGGAATAATAGGAATTGAAGAGGAAGGTTGATTATGAATACAGTGGTCTTGAGTGCTGTTAAGAAACGTTAAGAAACGAAATGAGACTTAACGTCACTTTGGAAAATTAGGACAGACAGCTATACACAACGTAATACCTTACACTGTGAATCACTTTAAATCTCTATATCTCACATTAGTGCAGCAAAATAATTAGCAAGCCAACATGTGAAGAAATAACAGTAAGATCAACAATATTAACAAGCCGAAAATAAGGGAAAATGTCTGAGAGGAATGAGAAAAATGTAGTAATATTATTTCTAAGATTGACAGGTAGATAAATAATGAGTGGACATGCGCCACCGCGTCATTTAAAGTTGCTGATCATAAGTTACGGTAGTGTTAACAAACCCAGCTAGAAAAAAACTGAGTACAGTGGAATTATCTTCAAATATAGTGGTTTCAGTGTTACATACTAATTTGTTACCAAATGGACCAAAGTAGGGGATATTTTAAGCAAAATAATTGCCAATTACATATTTTAAGTTAGCAAAAAGTCTAACATAAAACTGAAATTTCATTGAAATCATCAGTCGATTTAAGGTAGATTACCACTGAAAACCCGGAAAGCCTTTTCGTCCCAGTATGAGGTTCTGCAGCAGTGCAGTTCATGATTTTAATGAAACCTGACAATCTCCACAACCCTATGCTGACAATTATTATGCCCTCATTAGTGACTAGCTTTGAAAGGAAAGTTCCGGAGTTCTAGTGAGAAGCAGTGATCAGTGGAGCTAAATCGTGCTGGGTGTGAAGCAGTTACCCAGCAACGACAATAAAAGATAGTTACATAGTATCATAAATTGATTAAAGTTAGACATTAACACCGTTGGATGCTAGCTCAGTGATCAGAAGGTTGAATTTTCGTGCGCAAGACAGGTCTTGGGTTCGATTCCCATGTATGTGGTCATGTACGTACACATTTGAGGATTCTTGTACCAGGATTAAGCGGCCACACAGTGCCTCCAGGTTTTTAATGATCTGACATATTGATTCATAATTTAAATGAAATCCGACAACCTCATACTGATAAAATTAAAAGCTTTGTAGCGCAGTAGGGGGATCTTGGTAACGTTGTGTTCCCCAGGTTCAACGATCAAATCGTTGAGTCTTTATTATCTTTTTGGTCACCAGCAGCAGAGCAGACTTCTAATGAAAGCTCGTAAATTTTTTAATGATGTTGCTTAGAAATACTATTTGACCTATACGATTAAACAACCCACCAATAACATCAAGAGCTAGAAAAGGTAGAAAAAAGATAATTAAAACCAGAATAACAGAGTTCGAAATCTCTTAAACGCAAGAATCTACCTTTACTCACTACTCAAAGCCTAAAGCTATGTTAATAACCAGTGGCCGAGGGTAAAGAGCCTATACTCAATAGACTTGTACCTTATCTAATCAAAATGAGCAATTCAAGATTGCAGTTCAGCCTGACAAAATAATACGCACGTACAGGTGTTACTAAAGCACGTGCAACACTTATATGTATTAACTCCGCCGACACACTTCGTAAGTTGATTTACCTTTCCTACCTAAAACTACTTTGGAAGTATTCAACAAGAAAAGCAAATAACCCGACTCAGTGAGCTCATGTTTCGTAAATGTCAACTAGAACTACTTCTATGGTTATACAATACATTGAAGAGCTTACTTTTAGTAACATTTTTACAAAACAATAAGTTTAAGTAACTCCTATAATATTAATGAGGACTGTAAATTAAAGAGGATAAATAATCTTTAACCATGTAAGAATCTGCAAAGAACACTTGTTCGTTCGTCAAATATTTGGTTGCAGGTGTACAAAAGCCCTTTAACAATTAGTGAATATGTTTTATCTTTTATTTAGTATTTAGTGAATTCGAGTAGAATCTGGATTGTAAAAAATATCGTATCTCACAATCGGGATGTGGATATCCATCATACGCAGTACGTAAAACACTAGCTTATGAAAAGGACTTTCAACCATTAATGATCTATGAACAGCAATAACCCTGCCGTATATCAATTAAAACCTTCAAACTTCTCACCAAGTAGGTTGACACTGACGTCGTAGGGAACGCGCCAATGTTTTTGTAAGAAACTATTAGTAGTGCAGTTGATCATCAAAAGCTTACTTAAATTTCCAAAAACAAATTAAGATGACAAAATAAAATTCATGTCTACTAATTAAGGTTGAGCAACAAGTAATCTTACTCCAAAGTAAGATGGTTGAACACTGGCTGGGGAAATAATTAGCTATGCAAACACGCTGGTCGGAAACACTTCCTTTACCGAACAAAGGACTAGATGAAAGATATCCATCAATTAATCAAGCCCAGGTAAATAAGGCAAGCAAAAAGTTGATTGCTTCCTAATGCATATAATATAAATTATGAAAGCACTACTAATCATTTACAACTTACTTTCGATGGAATAAGCAACAAGTTATGTGAATAACGTGCCGATATGGTACTCCCATGAATATAAACCAAGGTGTGTACTAATCTTATTACGTTCCTGAAGTTTCAATGGTACGATAACAAAGGAAAATACTATTGAATTAGGTAAGTCTTGTATAATTATTTCGGAAATCTATAAGAGATAGTAATTTGACACCTGAGGTAGCACTAGTGGGGAAAATATTTAATTTGTGACATGTCAATAATCCTTACCATAGCTATTATTATGCATTCAACTTATTTAAGCAGATATCAAGAAGCACTAAAACTCACATGATTGCGAATAGGTTGCTTCCCGTGGAAAGCATAGAGAAGGTAGAGTGCGCATATACGAACTAACTTGTTTTTAGATAAGGTTGGCTGAAACAGACTAACCAACCGGTGAAAAATGCAGCCAACTATGTCATATAAACCGTGTTGACACTGCCTCCCCTGAATTAAATGGATCAGTTTGTACTTCTTCCAGAGCTCCGCGAAATCCACAAAACGAGGACTGCCTAAATCGGCGAATTCTTCAGTAAATGCTTCAATATCCTCATCTAAGCCCATGATAGGATTAAAAGCAATTTGCAAATAGTATGAACCATATGTGACACTGTCCCTCTAAATGAGAGTAAAATATAGACTTCAAATTTTCACTTACTGTCTCTTGTTGTTCTCCCATCGTGGTATTATGATCCTAAGTTATAGCACACGGTAGCCGATTGCACCCTTAAATTATAAACAATTGTTAGCAACCGCGGATGCGTCTGTCCTCAAGGTCAATCTTTCAAACCACAAACTTTGTCAACTAGAAATAACCTTGTCTCTTTGCCGTCTCTAGTATTACGGATAATATGCTTGCTGGATTGTTTTATTCTCCGAACGATGATCTTCTATGAGAACCCACATCCTTTTTTAGGAGCTAATTAACCTCTTCAAGTTGTTGATCAAGATCCAATATCTTTGTGACCAGCCCGCATAAACCGAGGAATTTTTCTGTGTTCTCTTGTCGATGTTACTGTACGGTTGTAAACCTTTGATATCGTCCAGCCCAACTAAACTGGTCTCTTGGCTGAAAAAATTTCAGAAAATTTGATAATGACCTTTTTCTTGAGTACAACAGAGTGCGTTTGTTCTAACACAGTGATGGTAGTAAGATCAGTAGCTACCATATCACGTGGCAAGAGCTTTATTTGTTGCAATGCGAAAAACGAATCTCGGAATTCAGGCGAGCAAAGATGACGGTCACGATGGATTAATTAAGAGTTTAGACATGCCACAAGTGATCGGAGTTTGACAACTTTTTTAACCCTAACACCTTTTTAATCGAAGTACGCCGACCCGGCCAAACCAAAAGCTGGAAATGGAGAGGTTTGAAGACATATTTGATAGACTATCGATATGTTGAAAAGCATTTGGTCCAAGCTGGCTAGTAGTTGCAAGGGATGAGCAACGTGGTGTACCCACTCCTGATCTGGTGTGGTTACGTGGTCAAGCGCACTCAGCTACGGCGTTTGCACTAAGACTGACAAGGTCATCATCAATGTTGGAAACTTACAGAACGATTCGTTTTATGAATTTATTTACCACTGATGGCATAATCCAATATACCTTATTTGTATGATCTTCATCTGGGTTTGGACGAAACTTTGATGTTTGATCTTAATATATCCTTGTAAATTGACCTTATATGCTCGTCCGTCCATCTTGATGATGTCACAGGTATTCAGTGTTTCACAACGCTTCTACCAGTAACACCTTCTAATATGTTTCGTTCCCACCAAGAGAAATCAAAAGACAGAGTCGAGGAGATCGGAAGAGTATATTTGGCGATGACCAATATACCGGGATTCTCTGATCTAATCTGGCTAGCGAATGTGGTTGATGTTGAGCACGGCGTTACTACACGTGATCTGGTGCGGATGCCTGACCGAGCGCCTTCAGATAGATGAGTCCACTAAAACATATGGTCAGCATCCAATGTCGAAAACTTACAGAGCTATTTATTTTAGGGATTTATTTACCGCTACAATCTCCTTCTTGGTGATATTTCATTGTTATACTAATCTGTAAAATTTTGAGATACGTTAACAAGGTGACACCCGACGCAATAAAGATTAGATCTGTTTGGCGCATCTCTGTATTTATTTTATTATGAAACAACTGTCGGTTATTTATGTACAAGTTTCAATATAAATTCAATACAATTGCTAAGAGTTATAATGCTGATGTTAAGCCAATTTATTAATACTTCATTTCAGTTGCACTCATTTGATCAGGTTACATTTTGAATCAATCTATCAACATCGTAAACGTCAGTTAATTTAACTGCTTGAATGTGTACAAAGTAACAGCATTATTCAAGCTCTTATTTAATTCATTGATCATCAGCCATTAAAATAAAGACAAGGAACATAACAGTTTAGCCAAACGTCTAGGGTTATCAAGTGTTGATATTAGGTAAAGATTCACATTTCCCATGGCTATGAATGTCTCCGCATCCAACAATAATATGATTCTTAATAAAAACACATGCAAATCTGTTGACCTGCAGTTTCACTTTTCTCTCTCTGCATATACTTAAAAACAAGAGTCTGTAGAATCGTTAGTACTTGTGGGCACGTAAAAACTATATATGAACGATGTACCGATCTCCGAACTGCGATTAAAACAACTTTTAGTCCCAGTCTGACTGAGTATGACTGAATTATATTGATGTCAATGAAATACATGAAAAACAGGCTTCTAGGTCCATCTCCACAACTTGCGAATTCTTCCAGATGTAACTCACTCTGAGCTGTCCTTAATCACGAATTCCTAATGATTATCCCTTTATACATTATTGGTATTCCGAATGCAAAGTAATTGGTTGTGCTCACAAGGTTCTCTCTGACTTGTATATTGGTGCATTTGCGACAACCAAATCACAAATTGGATAGTTCTGAGTATTACTGGTTAACGTACTGAATCCTTGGGGGAAATATGACCACAAGGAAGCCGAAATGGTCAAAAACTCACTTTAAGACTCTCACGTACGTGAGTTTATGTAACGCCCTTGAGACTACGATAAGATTACTTCCCCTAACATTGTTCCGCTGAAGTTATGCAAAAGTTTATTCTCGGCCAAACACCTATGGTTGATAATAGCGTAATCAACACTCACTCATTGTGGAAGACGAGTTTTGTTTTTCCCTGAGCTTAATCTAGTCGTTTGCTTGTGACCTGAACCGTTATGAAAATATGGAGTGTGATTAACTAATACGCGTTCATTGTCCGTAAACCTGACGAGCATCGGTGAATCGTTCGACATTCATTAAACCAACTGCCGGATGGCTTGGCATGAGTTCAGTAATATTGTGATAATTAAGGGTATTTGAATTATAGTACGAACTAAGAATCCCAGAAATAACACAATTGGATCAAGAAGTACTAGATAAGCACGAACGAATGTACGGCACGGGAAAAACGTCGGGGCCGTTCGAAGCAGCCCGCTCTTTCTTTTGAACGACCTTGAACGGCCCGGCACGAGGCGGTCATTCCGTATTTCGATTGCTGTGGGTTTGTTGGGTTGCATGAGTATCAAGTTTTTTCATATTTAAGTCATCTTTTGCTCCATTAAAAAGCACAAAATAACTGCCAAAAGCACTAATTTAGCGTTCTCTGTCTTGTAGTGTACACGTTGGCTCTGTTGTCGCTTCGTAACTTGATTTATGATCCCAACTGCTGTAGTAAACCTAAACGAAATGCCAAGTCACCGGTAAATCTTAAGTGTTTGTAGTACTTCCTTGGGTTATTGTTGTTTCAAAGAATAACTTTTTTACAGTTGATGATTTATGTTTGTAGTGCTTCATGCTCAAATGACATTTCAGTCGACCTTAGCTATGCTTTTCAAAGTGTGATTCTGAACATGAGTTTCGCATGCTGGGATGACTTTGATAGCGCGCTAAAACAGTTCCAAAAGGTGTGGAAGAATAATTTTATCCCTTCTCAGACTACCCATACTCATTACATCCACACGGAAAGCAAGTTGCTGAATGACATCAGGTCTAAATACCTGTTTGCTACGTTTCACTGTACATTTGGTCATAAGCGTAATTCGGAGGGTTTGAAAGTGAATCCTTAATTGCCAATCAAAGTTCCGTGTAAGACTGGAGGAGCAAGAATATGTCATCAAATCCTACAAGATGCTCCACAATCATCCATGTAGTAGTTCATGGATGGTTTGTGATCTATGGACAAGAAGATTGTCGTCGGGAGAGAAAGAAAATTTGAAGATAGTCATTTTGCAGTCCCAGTCAACGGATGAAGTTATAGAAAATGTCAAGGAGTGAACTGTTAAGGTGGTCACCGCTGCTGATGTAAAGACTATGGAAGCTAAGCTCTCCACAGGTAAGTGTATAAAAATGTATTTCAGGTTGTTGTACTCGGAAGCAGGTAATGGATTCGCTGTGTCAAAATGGAGAAGTGAGGGAACATTTAGAAAATAGATATGTAACGAGAATATGTTTCAGTAGTTATGACTAAATAGTTGTACAATAAATATCCAGAAGTTGTGTGTATTGATTCTACTTATAATACCAATAATAAGAATTGATTATGCTTTTCGTTGTATTATACTTTGTAGATATTCCTTATTCCAGTTGGTTGTGGAGGATAATTTCTGTCGAGGACGTCCTGTAATGATTGCTTGGACGCTAAAGAAAATTCGTGTAAATGTAACGTGGATTCTTGATCAATTCAAAGAAATCATTGGAACAACTACACGGGCGGAAACACTTGTTATGGAATAAGTACGAGCAGAAAGCGCGGCTGTCCGCATCACACACGGTCACGCAAACATTATTTTGTGCGCCTTTCACGTAATTCGCGCTTTCCGCAAAAAGGTACACCAGGGGTTGTTTACATAAAATTGCCCTTAGACACATGACAAAATACTGAGAACGTACCTGAGTCGATCGGTAACCGCAAAAACGGTTGAAAGGTATTTTTTTAATGTATTTATTCACTAGTTTTAATCAATATTTCAGAACAATAAACCAGAGAGACAGACGGATAGGCCAGTATTTGGAATTCGAAACCAAGCATTCAAAAAGTACAAAGGAATCATTAGTTCATCCAAACACCACAAATATTTCACTGACTCTTCATGCAATCACTGTTGGACACTAGGGGACTGAGTAGATAGGGATATGCACTAAATTCTAATCAAATAGAGTGAACTGTTTTTGAAAAGCAAAGAACGATGCTCTATCTTAAAAACAGGGTGAATAAATTTGATTTCCATCGTGTATGAGTAATCAAGGTGTAAGACAGTAATTATTAGAATCACGAGAATCAGACAACTCACTACCAGTCAGCAACAATAAAAGACTTTAATAAACAAGGAAGATAGATTACTAAACGTTCAATGATTTACTAAACTTCGTCAAGACCATGGAGAACTAAAGCGGATAAATTACCCCGTGACGTGGTTCCACCATGTGAGGCAGCGCAGTCGTGGTCTATGTACATTAGCGCTTCTTCCTCTGTTCTATTTAACATATCCCACGTGTAAGATTCCATATTCTCTTTAAGAACATCAAAGAAGCAGGAAAGCTTGTCACCAGACAAGGCTGGGGAATCGTGAAATGATGTTAGTCTGACTTACGACTAAGCACGTTGGTCAGTCGAATCGTTCCAGTC